CTACTCTAGCAGCAGCTGGGGATGAGCTTCCCCCCGCCACCGACGAGAGCCAGTCAAACTCCCTGTTGCTATGACTCACCAGGTACAGCCACTTCCAGCGAGCCAACTTTGATGAGTTTTTGTTCAGTTGGCTTCTGTTTACTAAGTAAATGTTTCGTGAGCCTGTAATAATAACCCCATATTGCGATGTATTTAAACTAAACACTTCAGATAAATAAAGATAAACAAGGTAAGTTTAAGTGAACTGTATTTGCTAAATTAGAACAATTCTCAATCTGAAATACAATTAGAACTATATAATGTTCTACAAACTAATGAAGTTAACAATGGCCATATCTAACATCAAACCTAAGAGAAGTAACGCAGCTGATTCTTTGGTGCAATGTGCTAAAATAATGTGTAACTTCTAAACAAACGGGCGAGAAGCTTAATGTCTCTGATTACAGCAAACAAATAAAAACACCTTTTGTCTTTAGCACTGCCTCGTCTTTCTCTCACCTCGCTTTTCTTTCTTCTGTTGGTTGAAGTGAAAATTATTCATGAAAACGGAGTCACTGGTGGCTATATGCAACAACTTTTAAAGTTTTCCGCTTTCCTAAAACAGTCCTGCTCCTCTCCAGGCAACCTGAAGACATTACAGAAATAAAAATTATAGAAAATACTAGTGTCGCCATAAAAGATGCTATAAGTAACATTACAGGCTATTTACTTCCAGATATAAGACGTTATAGGTTAAAGACATTAAACTGTGTCACTTTGAGATCATATGGAAAATATCTCGAACACTTTCTGTCGGCCGTTCCCTCCTCTTGCATGTGCATCTGTACAAAATGGTGAGTCAGTCTGTCTGATTCAGAATTTATGAAAAAGGTTTTCACCATGCACTTATCTGTAAGAAATAATCTTAATTGAGCATTTCTCTGGTGTTTTGACCTTTGACCTTTTAATTCTCGTCTATAAAACTGGCAATGATGAAATTTAAGGTTATCACACTTGCACAATTGGTATAAAAATCAATATACAACAAGTGGAGGTGAAGAAAACGGTGCACCACAATCACGTCAGATAAACCCAACCCTTTTCTTTGCTTCTCCCCCCCCTTTTTTTTGCATAACATGTCCCGATTTTTTCCCTTCCCACGGTATCTATAAATAAAAGCTGAGCAGGAGGCGTCACAAAGGTAATCATCTGCCCGTGATGCCGGGGCCGCAAGCTCCATTTGGCAGAAGCACAGTGAATATATCTCATCTGCGGAGCAAGTTTGGACTTCCCACCGAGGCTATAAACAACTTTAATGATCTTCAGCCTACTGTGCGGCACCCGGCCCCCCATATACCCCGATCGCGGGTCTTAATACACTACTGTAGCATCCTGATAAAACAGCATGGAAACAAGGGGTAGAACCTGCTCCCAGTCGCTCAATCTGAGCCGGGAGGAGATAGGATAGTGTACGCTCACCGTTTGAGCTGGTAAAGGCAGAGAAAGCTGAGGAGGAAGATCTAAATTGGATCTCTGCTCCTGGGCTGCTCCTGCCCTGATGGAGAGGAGGAGAGCAGGCCAGAAAGAATGGAAGAAAAGAAGAGCAGGAGAAAAGGTAAAGCAGAGATGGAGGAGGGGTGGGGGCGCCTGATTTCCACAGCAAGCTGCATCTTTTCTTTCCACATAGAAGCACATATGCCAACACCCACACAAACATGCAGAGGTACACAAAAAAACACATATTTACACAAACAGAAGCAGCAGATAAGGCCAACAGAAAACCCCAGACAGCGGATAGGATCAGTAAAGGGCCAGTAAATTAGTGGAGAACACTGTAGTAAAGTAAGGATGTCAGACAGGAGACAAGAGAGAAGAAAAGAAAAGAAAATATATAAAAAGAGAGGAAGATACAAAGAGAAACAAAGAGAAAAGAAGAAAAGCAAGAAGAAGAAAGAAAATGAGAAGAAAAGAAGAGAACAGGACGGAACATCAACAAAAAGAACAAAATGGAGAACAGATGAAAAAGTAAAGAAAAAAAGAGGCAAGGAGTGAAGAGGAAGAGTGTTGAAGCAGGGATCTGATTAGCTGCTGATCTTCCCCAGGGGCCCTGCAGACTTTGTTGGGAGTAACCTTGTGCTCGGGAGCCGAGCCCCTTGAGATGCATGGCCCCTGTCAGAGCCGAGGGGCCCCTGAGTCACCCTGCTGAAACAGCCCTATAATTCTGCACTACATCTGCATTCAGAGGTCATTCATCACAAGGTGCACAGTCACAGGTATACCTGCCTGCGGCTACGTGCCTGCCGAATACTCAACTGCAATTTCTACAACTCTGCACAATTCCTACTTTTAAATGTTCTCTGCTGCTTTCTCTAGGCTCAAGATCTGCATTTAAATCTGCTCTAAGCTACTCTGCTAGTGTCAAACTCTTCTCTATAATAAAGTCCTCTCAACCACCATCTCCAACTCAGCTTGATCTTTACATTTAAATCAACCTTATACTACTTCAACAGGCTCCAGCTCAACTTTTAATTTGCTACACTGATTCTTCTTTATGGTTAAATCTACTGCAACACTATTCACTCTGCCTGGACCCTACATTAAAGAAGACTATAATTTCGCTAAACTAAATCTGTTCAAAGCGTCTGCCTTTGGCTTGGTAAAAGAGAAAGATCAGCATATCCCCACAGTCAAATTATTTGTCAAATTGTGTCTGTATACAGGTCTAGGGGAGTAGTACTGCATAAGTAAAAAAAGTTGTATAAAACCTTTTGTGGTTCCAAAGGGTGCTGTGTCAAATCTGATAACCTGCCTTAAATGATGTCACTTGAGTCAGTGTCAGGTGGGGCAAAGACTACAGGTATGAAAATGAAACAAATGTGTTGGTGTGGAGTCTCCTTATCTCTCCTTGAGGCTACATTAGCAGCTACTAGTGTAACACTTCCGTATATCTAACTATTATAATATCTACTATAGTTTAAATTCGACTTTCCCAAGTTTTGAGATATTTTTGTTTTAAGATATTCTCATCTGAGATTTCTTTGATACTCTCTGATACAATGGAGGTGACAGTTTGTTTTGTAGAGCTCACAGGACGGAGCTGATGACAGGTTCAGTGTAACTACTTTGTACCTGTGGTGATTCATTGTTTGTTAATACTTCATTTGTTATTTGGTAAGAAAGTGTTGGGAC